AATAGAATAACTTCCTATCCAACTTTTCTGCAGGCCATTTTGGTGGATGGTTCAAGTTAACCTATTAACCATGTTAATTTATTCAATGTTAGTGATCCTCAGTCATGCTCCCTAACCTTCACAGAGAATTACAGACTGCTCTTCTTCCTACTTCCTTCATGAATCCAACAGCTCCTGATTCTTGTCCTTCTCTTATGCCCCCTACTAATCCCTGAGGTCCTGTGTCTTCGAAAGTCTAGATGCCAGTCCTGGTGGAATTCTGTAAATCAAGTATTACTGTTACAATTGTTGTAAATTTATTTCTTCTATGAGTGAAAAAGAGAAAGAGCACCCCCAATAGGGTCATTATACTGCAATCTATCCCTAGCCTTGGCCAGCCCTGGATCATGGGCACACGTGCTCTCAATGTGTTCAGGAAGGTCTCTGGACATGAAACTGGAACCTTCCAATGCAGATCAACCTCACAGAGCATTCTGTTACTGCTGTACCATAGTCCAGACTCTTAAAATTTTTTTAAAGGGCACCATGGGCTTGTGGGTAAAGAGAAATAGAATGAGATGCACACTTAGGCAGTTTCCTAGTCAGCCAAGATGCTGAGAATGGGGGAGAAGGGCTCAGAAAGCATAGCTAGTGGCTATGTCTCAGCAATCCTCTTCTTCAAACAATAAGAGCGGGCTCTACATAGTGAAGAATATTCACTTTCCCTTACTAACTCAACCAAAGGCATTCCCCCAAAGAAAGAAAATGGAAACATGAACTTAACACGTCATACTTTTTATAGCTGCTATTCTTTTAGCCTCTTCCCATACATTTTTTTTTGGGGGGGAGAGGGTTTTTTTTTTGTTTGTTCGTTTTTTTTGTTTTGTTTTGTTTTGTTTTGTTTTGCTATAGGGCACGTGCACTCACCAGACAGACAGAGAGAGACAGAGAGACAGAAAGCGAGAAATCACCCCCCAGTGGGGATGGCCATGCCGCAATCCCTTCTCCTCCATTCTCCTCTCGGGATCTTGGGCACGCACACACATGCTCCCAGTGTGAGTTTAAGCCACCGGGTCCGGGACGCGAACCGCGGTCAACTACATGGGAGTCCAGCGACATAGCCATTACGCTAACTGCTGGTCCCTTTCCATACATTTTCATACTTGATCCTCAAATCTCCACAGCTGTGGAGTATGAGGCTTGGCGAGGTTAAGAAGCTCACTCTCAGAAACGAAGTCAACTAATTGGCAAAGTCAGGACCAGGCCCCAGTTCTGATTTCTGGTCCTATGTTCTCTCCACAGCATCATGGAACATTTACTTTAGCCACCAGGCAAGATTATTTGGAAAGCAGCCCAGGCCATTTTCTCCTCTTCTGTTACAAATTATGCACACATTTTGAATTTATAAAGCAATGGAAAATTGAAAACTAGAAGAGTAACTATAAAAGAAAAAAGAGAGGGAGAAAAAGAGAACGATCCCATTTATATATTTCTAGAAAAGTAAAATGGAAAGCATAAAACTACATCTGTAATAGAAGAAAAGCTTCATTTAATTTTGTATGGTTGAGGAGCACGTTCATACATGGGAACTCAAAACATAGTCCTTTTTTGTTGAAAGCCTCATTACAAGTAAGGAAACCTGGGTCTTCTATTTCATCATTACTATGAAGCAAAGTTTTGAATATGACTTGAGATAGGACCTGCTTATGCAGAGGGGAGAAAGAATGCCTGGTGGAATGAAAAAAGAATCACTCTAATTTACTAGAATGTTTAACATCTTTGGGGCCAGCTCCATGGTGTAGTGGTTAGGGGAGCCAGATCCCATATGGCCAGCTCTGTAGTTCAAATCCTGGACCTGGCAGCTTGAGGAACATACCAGGTACACGTGTGCGTATGACCCAAATCCTGAAAGAACAGAGAACTGGAGGAGAAGGTATTGTGGTATGACCATGCCCCACTGAGCAGCACTTTCTCCCTCTCTCACACTGTCTCTTTCTTGTGAGTATACACACCCTTTGGTAAATTTTTTGGAAAAAAAAGAATGTTTAGCATCTTTGACATCTCATCAAGCACAAGGCTAATATTTTCCCAATTTGGACAGTTAGTTTATGCTATTTGGGGATAAATGATCAAGGCAGGAGAGTGAGTCAAGCATCTAGTTTTTCTTTCTTCTATCATTTCCTGACCACATGTGATCACCTCAGGGCTGTTAACACAACTGAAGGATTATAGAAATTTCAGTCCAGGCCTCTAGTAAACTTTATTATCTAGGACACAGCTCCAAGTCCAAAAGTATTGGAAATAAAGATATTGGGCAATAAAGCAAATCGTTCTCTCCAGGTCAATTCACTTTTCTCACCAGGAAAGTCCTATAGCTACTTTTGCAAGATGTTCCTAATGGGCACTCTAAATCATCATCAAAAGGTTAAAATGTTTTTAAAAGTAAGCATATTTTTTCCATGATATTTGCTTCCCATAGTGAGCACATTAATGCTTATTGTGGGCATTGTCCCTACTGTCCCCAAACTCCTTTATTTTTTGGCTATATATTCTTTTAAACGTCTATGGAAAGATAGCACAAAGGTGTTTACAAAGTTTCAACACCTAAGCAGTGATTATGCTTCATTATCAAAATAACCTTGCATCCCCAGTTTTGCTAGGTAAGTGAATGGCATTGTTCTTAAAACACAGGTCTAGGGTCAGCATTCCCTACATGCCCCTGGCAGAGATGTTATCCTGCCCTCTCTCCTCACCCCTCTCGGGTCTCCCTGCCTGACTGAGAAGCCTCTCAAAGCATTCCCTCTCTTCCCAGCGTTGTCTTGGACTGCCACCCAATCCCTGGCCCCCACCTTCAAGAAGAGGGGGTAACCTTAAAGCTGGAACTAGGACTGGAGAGGAAGCAATGGAGCAAGGCCACTATAGCTTTAAGAAGAGAATCCTGGGAATGAAAGTAAGTTTTTATCTTAATAATAGTGCCAGTAATAATACCAGATGGACTGGAAGGTCAAAACCAATGCTTGAATGAAGTTTGTGTGTTATCAATGCTTTTAAGTGACCTGTAGGGCTGACTCTGTGGTGCAGAGGTCATGTGCTACTAAAGAGAAGTCAGATCCACTGTGCAGATCCGCAGCCCAGTCACCTTGAAATGTACCCAGTCACATACATGAGTGCCCAAAGTCCAGTGCACTGGAGAACTGGAGGAAGGGGAGCACTCATCCCTCTCTCATGCGTGCATGTATGTACTCTGTCATGAATTTTTTAAAATATTAAATTAAAAAAAAATTAAGTGACCTGTATTATCCTTATCCTGGAATTACTGAGAAACCAGCTTACTGCTAAGAGGTGATTTTATGTGTTTGATAAAACTCAAATAGCCATCATGTGGTATAAGCATTTTAGTCCTAAGCGGGCAAGTTTCTGACAAATACACACACGTTCATTGTTTATTTTATCTGAGAGACAGGGAGAACGATACAGAGAGAAAGATACCTCCAATAGGGTCCTCATACCGTAACCCAGTTCAGTCTCAGCCAGCCTGGAAGACAGGCAGTGTCAGTGCACCCAGTGTACTCAGGGAAGTCCCGGGATGTGAACCCAGAGCCCCTCTCATGTGGGTCCAGCTGTATCACCTCTGCACCACTACTCAGCCCCCTGGCAACTATCTTGAGATGAGGACAATAGACCAGTTATTACGGGTCTAACTACACATCATTGCTTAAGGTTGCTTAGTTCAAATATCTACTCTCTGACTTCAGATTTACACAATGGTGTGACTTTCCTCTAAATATTAAGCCACTCTTTTGAGGAGTTACTAAGGGGGCTTCTAGAAACTAGCTTTAATAATAGCTAACAGGGATGGAAATAAGTTTTTTTTTTTTTTAAAGTATATCCAGAAAAGCTGCAAAAGAAAAGTGAGAAATCCTGATTTGGCATGGTGATATTTGAAAGTGCTTCAGAATTAAGGAAAAAAGAGGGTGAAGTAATAAAGAAGGTATATGTTTTGAAACACTTGAAAAACAAACCCATTCACCATAGAAATCTTTTCTCATTCACAATCACACTTATCTTATTGGAACTGTATAGATATGGATGTCACAACAATCCAGCCACCAAATCCAAACAGCATTTCCAAAAGCAAAAATAGATCCTTTCTCCACATGGTGGTGGGTCTCAAGGCTGGGATCGTTGAGAGAAGAGTCAGGTTATTGTTTAAACAGCTTTTATTACCTGCCTCTGACATTCCCCAGGGTACAAAACAAGGGACGTCTGAGCCTCATGCTCCATGGATGAGCAGAGCTGGTGATAATAATAGAATCAATATCGGAGAGGCACTTGGAAGTACTGGGATGACACACCCAATAATGGTTATACATGGCAGAAGATGGCAAAGCTACTAAAAATCAGACAAGTTACCTTTGAGATGATGACTGGGGAGGTAAGAAAGCCATACAGTTGGGGGGTCATAGCTTTTTCCCCTCTTTCTTGGGTAACCCTCTCCCTTGAATACCCCTTGCCTTTGAGTATCCCTCTCTCTTTAGTCCACATTAAGTTCATTCTATCCCACAAACTGCTTCTAGTGTCCTTCTAGCTCCCTGTTGAAAGAGAGAGGGAGGTAAAGATGACTGAGGCCTCTTCCATTTTCTTTGTCTCTGTCCCTAAAGCAACAGGAAGCTGGAGCAGTCCCTGGGAGCCCCTGGAACAGCTGCCAGTTAGATGGCCCCGGGGTTCTGATAGACTTCAGTGCTTCAGCTCAATGCCAAGCGTTGGATGTGTTGGATTCAGTTCCCGGAGGGCTGGAGCTTGGTGTCAGGGCTGTCTGAAGACAAGAAGAGCAGAGGCAGTTTAGTGCAGTTGAATGTACCAGATTGGGGTGGAGGCATACAGGGACAAACTGGCCTGGAGTAAGTAGGGAAA